ATTAATGGCCATGGAGCTCGGTGGAATTTGTACATGGAAACGAGATCTAAGTCTTAGAAAGACGAGCATTTCCTGCAACACTATTACCTCCTCCAAAACAGAGCTTCATCAAACGAAACTATAATGTTAGGCGCTTTAGAAATGTACTGCTGCAGGGAACATTTTCGGCTCCGCGTTTCACAGTTCATTTATGGAACAAATAACTGCATTATTTGTGCTCTCCTATATGCAAATCTCAGGCTTCCATACAGCCTAGAATACTGTAACAATCCCACAATATAAGAGTATTATGAAATTATATTGTCCTCCCTATACTAACCATAAAATCGATTTAGAACAAAATTGTCCCCTACGTTTGTGAGACACTAGCAATCAAACTATTAAAATATTCATGTCGCATTCTTTCAGAAGTAGAAAATACTTCCACTTAAATATGTTAAAATATAGAGAACAACAAATACTAAATATTTTAACAATTTGAAACCAAACACAGACTAAACTCGTTACCTGAGTGCTGTTATGTAGTATCAGCTCCAAAAAAAATTCACTCTTTTCTTCACCCAATCGCTGAATAATCTCCGATTACATAAATTGTAAAAAATTTATTTCTACCAGCAAATTCAACTATGTTTGTTGGGTCATATACGGGGTTCGTCACGGTTAATACTGACGCGGTCGATTAGTTTATCAGAATTTTCAATCTGAACACTAAAATTTTTTTAAGATTGGTCCACAAATAAAAATCCCGTTTAGTATACGTCATATTACCAGATAGCTATTATAAATTGCCTTGTGTATATAAGCTACTCATGAGGGATGACTAAAATACAATATTTGTTAAAACATTTACGTGTGTGCATGGTATTGAATGGTACGCTCCATTAGAACGCAGGTGGGACCGTTTTGTTAAGCAATCAATCACAAGGTGAATAGCGAATAAAGCCGCCTCCTATACAGTGCACAAGCCCAACGATTCAGAACCAGGCCGACAAGTTGAACAAAATTGATACCCCTCTTTAAAGAAGACAACATACTATCTGTCGATCACGATCTATGTCGTGACACTCTACGTCGAAGATGGAGATAATACATTCTCTTGCGCTTTTAAGCACCGTCACTTATCACAACGTCTTCTACACTATAGTGAAATGTCAATTTTTTTTCATGTTTTGATTGAGTTAAATCAACTCACGACCAGATATTTGACCTAAGTACTACCAGCACAGGGATCTAACAACTGCTAAGATATTTAGTGTGTACAATTTCATTTGTTGTTTAGATTTAAAGAAATATAAATATTTTCAAACAACAGGCTAAATAAAAGAATATGCAACAATTTAAATTATCTGGGTCTGACGATAAATAAATTCAGTTGAAACATGTAGTCAAGAAAAATAGATATTTGATTGTAATGTGTGAGATGTTATGAAAAAGTTATGTGTGGAAGAGACGGTATTTAAAAATATGTAAGAAAAACTCAAAGCACACCAGGATGCTGCAGTACAAGATCGTAACACATTCCTCCGAAATGTTGGCAATCACCTACAAGATCACACGGCACCACAATCCAGATATTCACCGCTTCATGAGCCTCAAACCCCAAGACGACATATTCTTTCATTTTCATTACATTTGTTTATGGAACTGCTTATGAAACCGGCGTTACTCCCTGCAACATTTCTTGCTACGATTATTTCTACAGTTTGTCGTATGCACATAACGATCAGTCGTCCGTCAGGTGGAGGCAGTATGTTCTCACAGAACGTTTGTTTCTACCTATAAGTCTACACGTCGCCTAAACCCAGAAGATGAACATCGACAAAAAGTTATAGTTTTTATCAACAAAACAAAAACATATTGTCCCCACATAATTGTTTGGCTGTGTGATTTTCGTATTAAAATATACCTCCAAAGGTTATAAACGTATATTATAATAGATAACATTTATCTGATGACAACTAGAAGTTTCATTCATTCTAAGGAGAAATGCTAATAAACGTTATTTATAAAAAAATATAAAATAAACGTTTCGGTGATCATAAAAGTATAGTAAGTACGTATATAATTCCGAAAACATATCATACAAAGTATCCAAAATTTAAATTTAAATGAGGAATTTTATTTCTACACACTCGGTAGCACTCGTTTCGTATACGAGGAACCAGCACAACAATGTTTCCAGTTTTTTTCACTGCGTTTATTGAATCGATTTTCTCTGAGAATTGTGTTTAAATCAGAGCGATGATTCCTTGGACACACAAATGCAACTTCCATAGGCCTATATGTTCAAAGCAATACATTAAGGTCAAGAGATTGTAGTATATTAGAAAGCTCTATGTAAAACCCCTGTGTGCAAATGCATGTGGCTTCAGAAGCTATACAGTAATAACAACAACAATTAACTGCCGGGTTAAAAATGTTTCATATTTAAATTATTTCCAAACAAAACACATTATGAAATATGAATAAAAAACGTAATAATGTACTTACGTTCATACCAAGTCTGGAAGCCGTTATACATTCGACACTGCAAAAAATAATTAAACATATTTAGACGAAAACTACTTTCAAACAATAATATTTTACAATTTTTTCGAAACAGTTATTAATACAATTTAATAATTATACAAGAAGTAATATATAATATAAGTGCTTTCGGTTAATGAGATCTGAGGTTCGTGCGGCAGAGAAAATAATGGCCATCTTCTGGTTCGTAACGTCGTGTGGACTTGGAGGCAAATACCAAGATTGCAGAGCACATACTCATCTGCTTTACACATCTACGTACTGTGAACACGTCTTAAAAATCAGTGCTTCTAAACATTTTCAACCCAGTTTGTCCTCACAAAAAAATACTCAATTCTTCTTACGCTGTACTTTGACCTAGTTAAAGTTGTAATTCGGAGGAATATATTTTATTTCGAAATGCACTATCAGATAGTTAGTTTTGTGCTATTCATTAATCAGCAATTTTAAATAAGGTCGTTCATCCTCCAAAGAATGAGGCGACGCAGTTTCTCGACACCGACGGACAGACAAGATCAACCGAGGCATTTGGATTATAACGAAACTAATCCCAAGTATTTTAAAATACACTATTACGTTTCTCCGGTCTCACCAGCAGCTTACATGCAGTGACCTCTATTGCGTTAAAAATCTCGCCCTCTTCTTAACGTATGCAACATTAAGTCTAAAAAGAAGTGTGAGGCTGAAAAAATTGAATTAATTTAAGGGATACCTCTGTAAAATTAGTATATGTTAGTATACTTAAGTGCTTAATGTTACTTATAATAATTTATTTTCCGTATTACATATTAAAGGTGTATTTTATATTTTAGCTAGTGATCGTTTTTAGAAAAATGTCCATTCTTCCGTGAAAATCAAATCATTTTTCTTCAAGAACAACACTTACAGAATTTCCGCTGAAATAACTATTAATTTATGATTAAAAAATATAAGAGAGGGTAGCATTCGATGGAAGCAAATTGGAATAACTGGTTAAAGTGCAAAGCGCGAATTTTCCACCTGTTTGCATAAAAAGTTTTCAATCACGAAAATACTGGAAGCGCGTGAGGAGTGTGTGTTTCTTTTCAGTCCGTTCTACAGTTCTAAATGCATCAAAGTCGGGCGCACTTTTACAGGCTCAAATGTATAACAAGCACTGAGTAACATCCCTTCACTAAAATCAATAGTATCTGCTCGCATTTCATGCAAATGAAATAATTTCAACGCTTAGCTGATTGAGCGGTAAATTGCGCAGAAGCGATCTGAGAACCTCAGTACATGAACTATCGATATGTAGCTGATCTGTCGTTATATGATGTCTAAGTCTTATTATCTTCCGAATTCTTATAAGGTTATTTCCCTCGACATTTATCTTGGCGTCTTTCCGAACGTGTGCCCTGAGGAAAGCTTAGGTTAGTATGGCACTCTGTACGTTTTACGCTCAGTACGAGCGGTGAGCACACGTTAAAATGAAGTGAACACCGCCGCGAAGAACTTTCATTTTGGTCTGTTTTTCTGTCCCTATACATAAATCAACGGGTAACGTATCGACACAAAATCTACCCTACCAACTGTAGATTACAAGTAAACTGAAGAGGGTGATAAATACAACTTTCGCTCTTTAATCTAGATGGCAGTTTCCTGCTCGCGTATTCTTAAAACTGTTCCTTCGATCAAATCTCTTTGTCGGTTGTTTTCTGAACAATACGTGAAGGGACCACTCACTTTATTCAAACCTTCACAAGTACTGTATTTCAGAAGGGAACGTTCATTATGTTGTCATCCCCGAGGACATGATAATTGAATACATATTACATTTAATTGGATCTAACCCAGCAACGGCACGATTCAAGTCGCGCACTGACACTGCCAGATCAAGGGTTTGAACCTCGCCGATGATATGCATATTTGTATACTATCCTTACCAACGCATATGGTTTCATTTCAACCCATATTTAACCGTGCCCTACTTTTATGGTTGGCTCGCATATAGATAAAAGTGAGTCCTGAAGGAGACATGAAAACTGAGTATACTGAAATGGACTGATCATATAAAGGTAATTTTCCTGGAAAGGATTTCATTTATAAGCCAAACACTTAAAACTATACGTAGAATTTGAAATTTAAATTTCTCACCTACCACAAATGACTGCATGTATGCAGCCTTCAACCAATAAACTGTATAGATAATTTGGACAATCATAAGAATCTGTCATGTACCAATCACAATATGCTAACAAGTAGCCAGAGCGATTTATACTAGATTCACGATCAAATGTAGAGACCATTACAAACTTCGTTTACTGTCAGAGATCATTTTACAATTTCCGGAAGCCACTTTCAGGATATTAACACAATGTTCGCATCCTCTGTTGAATTTTCACCGATAATATTTGTAGAAGTGACTGCACATGAAATTACAGACCAGCTTTACCCGATATAGGTTTACTCTGTTCTGGCAGAAGACAGCGATCCCTGAGGACTGCATAAAGTTGGTCATGAACTAGTCAGTTCGTTTTTATTGTTAGCCCAGATGAAGGGCGTAACGTTATCTCGACATGCCAGCCATAAAGCCAGAAGCTAAACAGTAGAATGAAGCAGGCGTTCTGGAGGAGAACGGACAACACCCTAATCGATTAGGTTTGCGGTAGCTTACGATGTATGGTCACAAACCCGAAAAATCTCCTGTGTTCGACTCTCTGTGAAAATTTTTGCTTAGAGCTAAATTTCTCTGTTATTCAAAGACACGTGACGGTAGGGCCATACTACAAAACCAGGATGAAAAGGGTTACGACTATAACGTATGATGCCACTTCTACGCAGTATACATGAGCTTAGTGGAAGCGTACGACAAGACGCCAACAGCTCGAAGCCGAACGTCTAGACGCCTGTCGTCACGACGCCGACTAAAGATGCTATCAGTGTCAATCATGAGCAGGGGAAACCACAAGC